CTTTCAACCTTGACTGAGGTTTCTCTCTAAGAAAGGCCTTTGCTGGACTAAACTGCTACATGTATTGATTTTTCTTTCTGTATTTTTTTCATTGTTTGTGATAAATGAAGCCTTTTACAAGTAGAGAATTTATCATTCAAGATGTAGATAGATTGCTTCGTTCCTTAGAATAAAAAGGCTGGTCTAAAAATGATCTCCACAGAAGTAATAAGTCCTTTCTTATTTCTCCAGCAGTGAATAGCTCCAGTATTCCACACTCAATTATATTTTTCAGCTATTCATTAGTGCTGATTTTTTCTTCAAAAAGTAGAACCTTGCACTCTTGCAGGGTGGACTTAGAGCAAATAAGCTGTCATCTTCCTTCCTATGTATTCCATCACATAATTGAAACTTAACTATAATATTTAGTAATGTGTTTCTGAATTTTTATAATACAAATGAAATGCACTTTGAAAAATATTCAGCCTTTATGTATTTAAAAATTAGTAACTACCAGACTTAATTGAGAAAATTGATTGGTTTGTTTTTCTACTCCATCCATTTCCAGAGTAAAAAATAATACTGACTGAGACAAAACGATATCTAAAACATGTTTATCCAAGTGTTTCAATATTTTGTAGTAGAAATGCAATCAATCAGTAGCAATCATTTGTAATTTTATTTTCCAGAAAAATGAACGATAAATATTAAATATTTATTTTACTGCCACATTGTAAGCAGTGAGGAATGAGGTTAATCTATGACTTTAAAATAGTTGTGACATTCACAGTTCAATTTTGGAATGAAGAAGAAGGCAGTATTAAGTCATAGTTTAAGAAAAGAAAAGAAACGTAAAAAGAAAAGAGCGTAAAGCTAAGGGAAGTGATTGCATGGTTATTATTTGGTTGACATTTTAATTTTACTACTGAACTGTATTATAAAATGGCTTGAGAATGAGGGAAGAACAGTGGATGCTGTTTATTTCTACTTTGCTAAGGTATGTGGTGGCGTCTCCCATAACATCCTCGTAGACAAGCTGATGAAGTACAGACTAGGTAAGTGGACAGGCAGGTGGACTGAAAATTGGCTGAACTGCCAGGCTCAGAGGGCTGTGATCAGCAGCACTGAGTCTAGGTAGAGGCCACCCCACGGGTAGATACGAGGTCCAGTCCTGTTTAACGTTGTCATTAGTGACCTAGATGGTGAGACCAAATGCACTCTCAGCAAGTTTGCAGATGACACAAAACTGGGAGAAGTGATACATAAGAAGGTTGTGCTGCCATTCAGAGGGTCTTTTAGACTGGAGAAATGGGCAGAGAGGAACCTCGTGAAGTTCAGCAAAGAAAAATGCAAAAAGTCATTCATCTGGGGAGGAATAACCCCATACATCAATACAGGCTGGGGGCTGACCTGCTGGAAAGCAGCTCTGCAGAGAAGGACCTGGGAGTCCTGGTGAACAACAAGTTGACCATGGACCAGCAACGTGCCCTTGAGAAAAAGAACACCCACAGCCTCCTGGGCTGCATTAGGAAGCATTGGCAGCAGGTCGAGGGAGGGGATCCTGCTCCTCTACTCAGCCCTGATGAGGCCACGTGTGGAGCACTGTGTCCAGTTCTGGGCTTCCCAGGACAAGAGAGACATGGACCTACTGGAGCAAGTCCAGCGAAGGGCCATGAAGATGATGAAGGGACTGAAGCATCTCTTACATGAGGAAAGGTTGAGAGAGCTGGGCCTGTTTAACCTCGAGAGGAGAAGGCGCTCGGGCATGTTATGAGTGTGTATGAATACCTAATGGGAGGGTGTCAAGGGAATGGGGCCAGATACTTCTCTCTGGTGCCCAGTGACTGGACGAAAGGCAAAGGGCACAAACTGAAACACAGGAAACTGTGCTTGAACATAAGATAACCCTTTTTTACTGTGACAGTGGTTGAACATTGTGCTATTGCATGGAATATTTTACCTAAAGAAAGGTGCAACTTTTGAAGGAATGGCTGTTGTATGTTTCTTATTGCTGCTGAAGGTATTTAAGAGTCAGTGTTGCTTCTCAATGTTTTTTGGCTGGAGAGAGTGAGCGAGACTTGCAGGTGAATGCAGACATGCATATGAGTAAAGAGAAACAACAGGCTTCAGCTCTGTGATTTTGTGGCTATGAAAGGGGCTGCTCTGCCTTGCGGTACAGACTTTAGCTGAGACCTGTGCAAAATCACACAACTCCCCATCCTAAAAGCAAAACATTCTTCGAGTTAGCCCTAAGATTTAGTTCATTTCTAAATCTGTTGACCTCTTGATTTTCTTGTGAAAACCTTGGAAACTCAAGGGAAACTTAGGTCTGGGAACTGGCTCTTATATACTTTTTCTGTTCTGGATGTCGACTGCAGTTGCTACAAATCCTAAGTATTACTGTCTAAATCTAACAAGGTTTCTAGATTCTTCACTTCTCATTGATTTCAGTGGAAAATGAATGGGAAAGAGAAGCTTAAATAGGATTTAGGAGCCTAGGAATTTGGTTCGTTCAGGGTGTGAATGTTAGACTTAGGAGTAAGTATTCATCTCCTGATCTTACAGGAGCTCGTACACTTGAAATGAGCATAGGCTAAATCCCTTGGAAATTTTCTACAGGAGGAAAAAAACTGTCACCATGAGAGAGGGCACTGGAGGAGGGATTAATGATGTAAGATTATGGCTGTGTGTTTATAATGATTTGTAAAACTAAGTGCCATAATGCTTTGCACTTCTATTTTAAACCCTAGCTTTGTGTCATGAATGCTAATATCTTTGTTACCTGATCTTATCTAAGACCAGCAGATTTTAAAGCTAAGTAGTCAATTTTCTACTCCTTTATTTCCCCACAGAACCTGCTATTTAGCACCTTACTTAAGTGTGACTTACAGGGGAGAGAAGTGAACATTGGTATTTAATTTCTTTTTTTTTAATGCTTTCTTATGCTATAATTTTGACTTTACTATAACTTGTGGCAGTTCTGCTAATACTGCAGAACCATGTGTGGCATATCTGACATGAAAAGTAATTTAAAAAGCAACTACCTATTTTCTTGTGCTATTAAGATCTTATATTTTAGAAGCACTTTTCCACCCCAGGCGGGGTTATTCATTTTCTTCTGTGTTTCTGTTAGAATATACAGTCACTATTGCTGACAATAGAAAGATTAGTCTAGACTAAGAGGAATCCTCTATTAGTCTACAGCTCCTTTACCCCTCTCTAAGACATGCCAAGAAGGGTGGGAACATGATAAGGACATCTTTGTACTGTAGCGTTTGAGAACCGTGTATTCTGTTGCTCTATCCAGTGTATGAGGCAAACGCCCTCCAACATTGGTCAAAGAAGCCTGTAGGATATTCTGAGGGGTAGCCTGGCAGAAACATCATGTAGACCGAGAGAGCCCAAAGGCCGTCTGTGAACCGTTTTTCTTTTCTATCCCTAGTCGTTCATCTTCAAGGCTGAGTGAAATTTGTCCATTTTCCCTTCCCTGGCAATCCATAATAGAAAATACAGTAATGGAGGAAATGTGTCATGCTTTGAGGAAAGTAAATATTCTGTTTTAGGGGGGAACATGCTTGGCTGTTTTGAAAAACTTTCAGCACCGGTGTAGCAGGAGATGAAGAAAGGCAAGATATCTGTGTTATAATAATGAGAGATCCATTATGTAATCTGCCAGAACAGTCAAAGTTATTCAGGGGCAGTACCCTGAACGTTCATGTTAGACAAAATTTTGTCATTCATCTGTAATATCTAAAGAGGGAATGAATATGCTTGAGTCTATGCTGAGGCCAGGTGGGGAAAAAGATACAAAGGCATGCCTGTTCCATGGGAGTGGTTTGTTTTATGGAAAGCTCAAAACTGTCAGGCAACGGAGCCCCCAAAAGAAATCAGAAAATAGAGATCTGCAGACTCTATTGTCGTATCACAAAGGCTCCTGTGCCATCTGTGATCCTGGCCATTACCTTCTCGATACTATACATGCCAACGTCCTCTGGAGAGTGCCCTGTGAAGCCAGTGCCCATTGACCTGAGCAAGGATTTGGAGCTTTGTTCTGCCCTGGACTGGTCACGCTCCAGTGGCCCTTGGTAGAGGCTGACCAGCCAGATGAGAAATCTCGTAGGTGATGTTTTGCTCTCCTGGCTGGTTAAGCAGCAGCTCCTTAGTGTTTTTAGGCTCTAGCTGACAGGTGCAGAGCTCATCCTCTTCTTCTTGTTCTTCTTGTTAACAATGTGGCGGCATACCCACAATGGCAAAAACATGTTGATGCAGTGCCATGAAACTGGCTGTAACTTCTTTGGTAATGAAGGTGCTTCTTCGACCACTAAATGATATCAGCATCCATGGTTTTAATCATCTCACTGGTTGATACTCCTGACTACAGCACATGATCCAAAGTCTGGAAGCTGCCTAGGGACAAACAGTTTTTTAATTTAAGAATCTCTATGGTGGGCAGCTTGTAGTCAGGAAATTTGACTCGTTTACACTGGAAAAATTTAGTCTTCTTTGTTTGCTTGCATTTTGTTATTTGAGAATTTTCACAAACTAACACTGTGACTGACTTCTTACAGGCTAGAAAAACACAAGCCAACAGACGTATAGAAACCAAAGGCAGGAAAGAAAAAAAGAAAAGAAAAAAAAAAGAGCTAGGAGTTGAACTTTCCTAATATTTAGTACTTCTGTGTAGTCAAAATTGTCCTACTTAATGCTATTGTTCTTTTTTTAAAGGCAATTGGCAAAATATAAGTGATGAGCAGGTAAGCCTTAAACAGTGCAATACTTAGTTTCTACTTTTTGCTTTTTTAATTTTTGTAAAGTCTAGTTTTGACTGAAAAGGACTATGTCTTTGTATTTTCATGGTCTGAGTAAATAGGAGAAGAAAAATCACTCCTCTTTAGATGTAATGACACTTAAATTGAAGAGACGCTCAATAGTAAATCAAATGAATATGTTTATTTATATTGGGCCCTAATATAATGCTTATGGAGTAGAATAACTACATTACCTTATGTTTTCTTTTGTAGATATTTGTATGCTCTAGGGCAGAAGGTTTGGAAGAGGTGGAAAAAACGCTACTTTGTTCTTGTTCAGGTTAGTAATCTGCCAAATGAAGAGTGTGAAATTTCATTAAAATGAATACCAGTTCTCTTGCGTAGGGTTTCTGCAGCAACTTGTAAGTCAGTATCTTCGGGTACTGGAGCACAATTCTAAGCTTGTTATAGCACAGAGACTTCCCAGGATAATTTATTTAAATTTACATATTTAATAAGCAAAAGTGTCACTGAGTTTTACAAATACATAAAACAATCCGTACATTGAGAAATGTTTGAACCCAAACCTAGAAATTACAAGAGTGAAATTGTATCTTGAAATGTCTTGCTGACAGCTTTCTATCAGCACTCAGTTTAAAATAAAGTAATATTTTTAAGAAGTAGATTATATTTGTTTAATTTATTCTATTTCAACAATGATTTTCTGCCCTTAAAATTAAGTAATAGCAACAATATTTACTATTAAGCTCTTTTTCATAATTATTTTTTTAAAATAATGCTTTTTTGTTTTTCCTTGTAATATTAAATTGTGTAAAATATGATTGTGTAGTGTTTATAGAAAATCTAGTGCAGTAATTACTGTTGACCACAGAAATTTGCTGGGCTGATATTTCATAACTTTTTGTACAAATCCAGAACTGTAAGTATCTTCACATGCCAGTGAATGGTGACATTAACCTGTGACTAATAAATTCGGACTAGAAATGTAGATTTTCTGAGTGGTCAAACCTTAAAAACCTCTTTTAAATCTTTGGAGACTCATTATTTTTTGTTTGTGCTTGTCTTCAGATTGCAGTTACAAATTTGATGTTTTGAATTTGTGGAGAAAGGCCCATTCTTCTGTGTGTCATTTGTTTTGCTGACAGAGAAGTGTTATGGTGATGATGTGAGTCTCCATAATCGTCATATGAAGGATGAAGCTTGTTAAGCAGAGACTTTTTTTTAAGAATGAAAGCTTCTAAAACTACTTTACAGAAGCCCTGATCCCTTTCCCTAGCATTCTGTCAGTCATACTTAGCTGGTCCTTTTCCTTTCCTACTCCTAAATCATGAAAATTGTAAGGATGTTAAGAAATCCTGAGTTAGTTCTTCAGTAAAGAAAAGCTGAGAGTATTTGCATCTTACTTTTGGTAAGGTTGAAGTCAGTATGGTGTTCTCACTGGCTTCAATGGAAATTGGCTGCCATATTGATAATTAATGAGTAATGGTTATAAGGTGAAATGGGATCATCCAGAAAAGTTAGTGAATTCATTTTGGCTCTGGTCTTACCAACGCTCCGTGTGAGGATATGAGGCATACTCATGAGTTTATTAAGATTAGCAGGAACTGAGGAGATCTCTTCCCAAGATGAAATTGCCTGTAAAGCATGGATATAAAGTGAAAATAACTTCTTAAAGTCCACTCCCTCCCCCCAAAAAATAGAATACTCCCTCATCCTACATTCTCGTCTTTCATACTCCTCCTACTTTGTATCCTACCTTTCATAAAAAGACCCGTTTACTTCTTCTGAGCCACAGACTGCAGCTGAGTTTTGAGGAAAGAAAAAAAAAAAAACCCTAAGAGACCCATGGTCTTTTTGTGCATCTAATATTGGAGACAACTGGGAGAACAGTTGATTCCAGCCAATCATCTGCTATCTTCTACTTTCTATTCTCAAATTGAAATATCGTGGGAGAATATTACAGGAATTTTCCAGCTGTGATGGGATTTAGACATCACTATTTCATTTTAAAACAGCTACCAAGCTCAATAAGGCTATATAAAAGATACTGCATTAAATCAGTCTTGATTGTCTGGGCAGCTCTGGCTCATTTATATAATCTACCTGTTACTTACACTGACAATATGCTGAAGCTGACACGTGTGAAATAAGCATTCAGGAAGCCTGTTGTATTGATTTATTATTGACATGTTGACGATTCTTCTTCTATAGCTTAACTTTTAGCTTATGTTGAGCTACATTAAGGATATGACATTCAGTTGTAAGAGAGAGGCTATCAAGGTGATTTACATGTGTTTTTGAAATCTGACTGTAGTGTGAAATTGGATGAATAATGTTGATTTTTCAGGAGAGTGATTGCTGCATGAGTTAGAAGTTATTGGTCATTCATGAAGCAGCAGCTCAATGTTATAGGAAGGTTATAGGGTCTGGAAATTTTAATGACTTTGTTATATTTACTGTTTTTCCTTTTACAATCCAGTCACTTCTCTAGAAGGTTATCCATTTCAAAACGGGAAGAGACGGGGATATGATGTGTTCAGTAAGAAGCCACAGCTGGGCATGCAATATTTAACTTGTTTATCATCTGATATCTTCCTTCATTAATCTAAATACAGATTCACTTTTGTCACTTTAATTTCATCTGTTCTGAAGTTTGAGAAGCCAGCTGTTTGTTTAATTGATACTTGTTTTTTAAACATCCTAGATATGCAGGCTAGTTCATGCTGTCTTTCTAATGGCTGTCAGGGGGAGATTTGACTTTAATTATTTTGAGAAAGTAAAAGTTCTAAGATTTAATCTTGTATGTTTTAGTTGAGACTAAGTGAAAACTTAAATAGATATATGCAAACACACATACAAAAGATTCGCCCGAATGCAGTTCTGAATATACAAGTGTATGGATAATAGTGGTGGCTGAAGGGGAGAAGTGCGCAACAAATGGACAAGGGAAGGAGGAGTGAAAGTGAGACCATACATTTTTAATGTGGACTTGCCTGGTTTGAACTGCTTTCTTAGAATACAAGTGAAGACTCATCGCTATTGCAGTCAGATTTTGTATTGAAATAAAGTAGGGAAGGAGATGAAGTTTGCCGAAAACACAAAGATTTGGGAAAAGTTAAACATTATGGAGAATGGATCACTGTTCTCCTATTTGAAATTCATATTATTAAAAATAATAAATAATTTATGTTATTACACAATATACAGAATACTATTATTATTATATTGCATGATACATTGTTATATATTATTTTATACAAACTGTTTTATAATAAATATTATATAATAAAATAATATTTACTTTCGTAAGAAAGAAAGGTTATGTTTCCGAGTAGAAGCGCAAAGCTCAAACTTTAGGATGAGGGATCATGGTAGAAAGGTAAGCACAAAATCTGAAACAGATAGTGACATCATAATAGATCAGTAGCTGAATATAAGCAACCAGTGTACATATTTATGGTTGATTGTTGTGCCCAGGGTCCAAAGTAGAGGGGAGAGCAGGCAAATATGATTCTTATTCCATGTTCTGGGCTCCGCAGCTCATCCACGAGAAGGATTTGCCAAGCTTTGAGTGCAACAGAAGCTGGGAGAGGCTGCTGCTTCAGCTACTACTAGAGAAGCTACTGCTTCTTCAGCCAGAGTTTCTGGGGCGTTGTAGCTCCTGATCAGCTTCCTGTTGTTGAGCTGACCTGCCCTTCTGTGTTCATCTCCCCAAACAGCAGATACTCCCACTCCTGGGCGTCAGAAGGGCTGGGTTCAGCGGCTCCCCAGCTACGGGGTCCACCAGTCAGCTGGCCAGGGACCACGGTGATGGGCACAAAGCTCTTCCTCACAGGCTGAACAGCGTATTTCCACCCCTAGTGAAGCTGCTCATTTTCAGGTTTCTGTGTATATCTGTCTGCCCTGTATTCATGGGTTTGCTGTTGGTCTTCCACTTTGTTACAAAGTCAGTAAAATGGCTAGTATTCAGGTGTTTGGATCTATTAAAATTATGAAATTCAGGTAAATGCAGTTATAGGATGGAGATTTCCTTTTCTACTCTCAAACAGTGCTATTTAAGAAGGCAACTTGATTCTGTTTTTGGCTGAAAACATGTTCTACGTAATCCTGAATTTTGAATATCCGTTATTGTATCAACTATTGATATTTATTTGCTGAATTCTAAGGGGAAACTACCTAGAGCTCCATTGACTAAAAAATATGCTTGAACAGTCATGCTTCTATTTTAAAAAGCATTCTTTTGGATTCTGCTGCTAGTGTTTTATATCTCCTCTTACGCAGCTGAGAGCAGCCACAGTCAATGATGAGGCAAAAGGTTAAAGAGATTGCGAATGTGATCAAATGAGACAAGTTCTGTATTTCCTTATTTTGTAGGATTTTTTTTTTCCCTTCTAGAGGTTTTTTTTTTTCTTCTTTCCGTTGGTGGATAGGCTTTAAAATTTCTCAACAAATTATGAAATGTCTTATTTTTACATGAATACCTTTTCAGTAAATTGTTGTTTTAAAATATCAGAATGCATTTCAAATCTATTTACAAAAATAAAATCAATGTCATTATAATCCCTTTCTTATAATGCTGGTATGATTAAAAAATGAGCAAAGACGTGTAGCCTAGATCATCCACAACCTTATCTTCAAAAATGTAAAGTGGCTGAAGAAATCTGAAAAAAATAAAGATGCATGCATTTTCCCAATTAGTGGCTACTAACTTCCTTTCTGATGGCTCAGCTTATCTATGTAGTGTGGTTTCATGGAGTTACTGAAATGCAAATTTTAGTGATATGGATGTCTGCTAGGTTATTTCAGCTGACAGAATAGAATAATTTGATAAATGTTTTTTACTGCAACATCAGACATCAAAAATTAAATCTGTAGGTTGAATTTACAAGAGAGGGTGAAGAGAGAGCTCTCATGAAATGCAGTGATACTGCAAAGGATTGGAAGGTATATTATTAACCAATAGCTCCCTCTGTGGTGTTTGTACACTAGGACAAATCTGGTTCTTGGGCACATAAACAAGGTAAGCTCAAACATAACAGAGGTGATATTGCTCCTGTGCATAGGACTAATGGCAAGATTAGTAGCTGAGCCTAGGTCTAATATCTGTAGCAAGTGTTGAAAATTAGAATAAATGAGATTTTAAAAAAGAAACAAAAATTAAAAAAACAAAACAAAAAAATAGTCTGGAAAACTTGCCTTATAATAAATAATAAAACTTGAGAAGCTCTATTTAGTCAGCCAACATGGGGAAAAAATTTAAGAAGATGACTTAATCATGTTGAATGAGTATTTAAATTGAAGAGGTGCTTTGAATAATAAATGACTCTTTAGCAGAAAAATGAGTAATGATCAAATCATATGTCTGATACTAGAGCTAGACAAATTCAGACGAAATATAGGACATATTTTTAATTGTAGGGATAGCTAACAGTGGAACAATTTATCTTGGGATGTGATAGATTGTTCATCATTTAAAAACTCTGAACCAAAATACAGTACTTTTCTAAGATACATGCATGAAAGCATAGAAACTATATGCATAAAATCAGAAGTTGCAATATATGTCCCATAAAACTAGCTCATTTTAATTAATGATGTGGAATATTTCTATTTAGTTTGTCTTTACTATAGATATCTGCTGTGAATCTGAAGAATTAGTTCATCCTTTGGGGCCTGGTTGCAATTTTAGAGAGAGAGGTGTTATACTTGTTCCTTTCACTTGTACGCTCTGTGGAGAGCGTACAGTCACTATATGCCGCATACACATAGCATAGCATGATCCAGTTTTGTGAAAGATTCTCAAAATAAATGTAGCAAAAGACCCCAAATACCTAAAACAATGCAATATTTTCAGAGCATTATGCAGATAATAATCACACACCTTCCATTTTTATTTTCCATATATATATCAGTCTTTTACACAAAGAGTCAAATGTCTTTTATCAATAGCAGTTGAAGTCATTGTATTTTGAGGTGCAGCAGTGTGCAGGTACAACACCCACTAAAATATGAATTAAGCGGAAGTCAGCTGTTGAAATTTGACTTCAGAAAGGATAAATCTTGAAATTATAGCCAAAGCAATCAATCTAGGTAACAGTTAGCTGAGCAATCAGCAACTGAGATAAAGCTAGTCCATCCTCTATCAGAGGATCCTTGTATAATTTGGCAAACCTAGGAAGTGATGTTGTCATTCTAAAGAAGTTAACAAGATCTTACCAGTGAGTTGACCAGACATCCTACAGTCCTGGGAGCCTGGAGATGGGAGCTGTAGAGGCCTGTGAAAATTCAGTTCCTTTAAGTCTCAAGTGTTCACAGATTGGGAAGCACCTTATTCTGATCACCTTTTATGTCTTTCCAGCTCTTTGTTTAAAGCTGGTAACACCTCAGTTTCTTTCAGTGATTGCATTTCCTCCCTCAGCTGTTACATTCCTTTCCTTATCTTTCCAATCACTTTTTCCCTAGCTCTTCTTATCATCCACTGTTCTGTCTATGGAGTCTTAAATCACATGGTGACAGATATTCTTCTCTTTACTTTTTTTTTGTGTATGTGAAAGTAGTCAATCAGAAGTAACTTACGTTGTTGTTCATGGCAGCTGCAAGCTGCTTGACCTTCCCAGTGCCGTATCCAATGAGCTAAACAACATAGGCATGGGTTTGAATGCAGATGGGAAAGATGTGGAAACTAGACCTTTTAAAATCAAACTGAAAGTTCTGGTATTTACTGTGTTGAACTAGAATTGCCCAGATTATGTGTTCATGCTTTCAGCTGCATGATAATTGTTCTGGCAGTCCCTCTGCAAAGAGTACTTTTATACAGAACAGTCTTTTTTCCTCTAGCTTCATGGAATACAGGACTTTTTCTGTCACACGGTAGACTGAGCAGTTTGATCAATACCAAATATTTTCCCTAACAGTACCTGGTTTGCTTCCTTTCAATTTTTCTTAAAGCCATACCTCAAAATATACCACATTCCAGAAAATTGCAAGCTGGTGTGGTTTTGGCTTTTCTTCTTCCTTTTGGCAGGAAGGAGAATGAATACGGACGTTTTTACATGGTATAAAATATTTCTCAAAAAACTATTTTTGATTTCTTTTGCCCTACTGAGAGCTAATGTACACAGGGGCACATATGATATGCAACATTAGCCCTTTGACTCCTGTCGAGTAAAGCTATGGAATGAAATTCAGCAATTAAGAACTCCTTTCTTACTCAGGTTAGCCAGTACACATTTGCAATGTGCAGTTACAGAGAAAAGAAATCTGAGCCTCAGGAACTGATGCAACTCGAAGGATATACTGTGGATTATACAGCTCCTCACACAGGTACTTTTCATGATTTTGAAGTATGACGTGTTTGTGTAAAACAGCGGATTCACTTTACTCATTTTGATCTTCCAGCTAACAACACCAAGGTTATTTTTTCCTGCACCAGAAGATTTTGCGATTATTCTTGTAAGATTTTCTAGTGTGAAAAATCATGCTTTTAAAAGAATCTTGTTATAAGAAGAAATAACAGTAAACTCACACTAAGGTTGTCTGAAATGTTATAAAGCTGTGTGTAATACAAAGAAAAAAAAGTAAATTCTAATCAGTCTTTCCCTTTTCTCTCTGTTTTTGGTGGTAGAGTCACATGTGGCATTGTATTGTAAAGTATATTCCTAAATGATTTAGAAAAGAAGGTGAATAATGATAGTGCTTGCTAAAGACAAGTTACTCAGAGTAATCAAAAACAGAACAGAAGATATCAGAAAAACTACATAACTTAGCAATAAAATGGCAGAGGGAAATCAAAGTTACGGAAGTAGAGAAAAAAACTTTGACTATGCCTACATAGGGGAGGGTTATGAATTAGCTATCCTCATGTAAGAGACCTTTAAGTTATTGAAGACTGCTCTTTGAAAACATTGACTCAATGTTTAGAATAACTGCAAAGGCAAACAGAATGCTTAGAAGGTATTTGGAAACCCTGAATAACAAAAACAAAACATAACATAAAAAAATCTCTTGTGCAGCCACAGATTGAACATTCTGTACTGTTTTGGTTATCCTCTCTCAAAAGGAAATATGAGCGCCAAAAAAAGTCCCAGCAAAGGAGCAGCAGAGGTGATAGAAGCATGGAGCTGCTTTTGTTCAATAAGAGATTAAGTAGATGGCGATTTCCAGCTAAGAAAGCGATGTCTTGAAGGAGGATATAATAGAGTAACATAAAATTACATATGGTATGGGGAAGATGAATAAAGAATTCATTTTTCATTGTTGCTGTCCGCACAAGAATGGGGGGCACCAGTCAAAATTACCAGGCCACCTGATAATTGTACAAAAATGTTTGATTGTTTTTCCAAGAAGCCTAATTAAATAATAAAACTCATTGAATAGAAACTGAAAGTATAAAGGGGTTCAGAAAGCGGTTCTTTAATGGAAAAAACCATCCAATAGAAAAAAACAAACATGGTCTATGAAACTATTTAATCCCTTGGCTTCTGTGTTTATTCTTGCTGTATTTGTTACTTCGATGTGTTACCATCTAATCCCTATAGCTTTTGATTTTATCATATTGCCAGATCACAAATACCTGTAGAATTTGTGTTTTGTTTTAATATCCTCCCCCCGACACACACATAGAAGAAAACCAATTAATTAACCTACTAAACATTAATGGTTAACCAAAAGTAACTTATACGTATTAACATTACCTTCCTGTCTCCTGCTCCAGGTCTTCAAGGTGGTCGAATGTTTTTCAATGCTGTTAAAGAAGGCGATACAGTAATATTTGCCAGTGACGATGAGCAGGATAGAATACTGTGGGTTCAAGCGATGTACAGAGCCACAGGTCAATCGTATAAACCTGTTCCTGCAAGCCAGGCTCAGAAGATGAATCCTAAAGGAGGAAATGTCAATACAGATATATCCCCACTTTGTAAGTTCCTTGTTTTTTGCAGGGGAGAGGGGTTTGTTTTGTTTTTAGTAGGTAATATGTAGTGGAGATTAATTAAGCAAAACTAATTCACTAGGAAAATGTACATAGTAGTTTGTTGCTAGCCAGCTCTTTACCTCAGATTATAATTACCAGCCAAGGAAATCCTGACTTGAAGGTCATTGTTTTTATTATAATCCAAGAAAATATGACAATTAGCTTCATGTTCATTACAGCTGACCCACATATTACCATGGAGATGGTTGTTCGGTGTACATTATATTTTTCAGTATTCTGCCAGTGTAGTGTTGAATAGACAAGCATCAATTTACTCTCAGAATTTCATAGATTTAGGTCAGCTTTATTATGCATTTATTTATGTGTTTATATATATATAAACCTCAAAATTGCAATGGAGACTTCATAGTAGTATTAAACTATACTAATTCAGGTTTAAGATTTCCTCATTTTTCTTTGATAAAAATACAGCTAGAAAGGAAAATCAAGATACATAGCACATATTCAGCACATATTTTTTTTTTCGTATAATCTGTTTTAAAGTATTCTATCACATAGATGTCTGCACGTAGGAAACATATATGACTTTTTGTTTTGGGGCTAGGAGGAGCAATTTTTCTGTCCTATAAAGCTAATGTGATCCAAGAATTTTTGTAATAGCCATCAAGTGTCTACAATATCATATGAGTTTATATAGTAATCTTTCTTCAGTATCTTCTGTATATGTCTGTATATGTAGAGTGATAGAGGGGAGACACCTGTTGAAGCTCAGCTTGGTTTAATATCCAAAGTGTGTAGCATTCTGACTTCAAACAACTCTCCTCTGTCAGTCATGCTATCACTTGATCTCAAGTCTTTCATCCGTCCTGTGATTTCTTGTTATGTCATTAGGAGACAGTAAAATGCATTGATTAAACTGAGAAATAGCCAGCCAAAATCCTGACTGGGTTGTAAAGAAAATTGAAAAAAACATGCCTTACGTCACAAAAGTATTGATGCCTTTTGGATTTTTAATCTGAAACAGTTTGAGAGCGTGAAATAGCCAGGCAGCACAATGGGGTGTTAGAGTGAAGTATTTTGCAGAAAAGAGGCAATGCTACTGAAGCAAAGGCGGGGCAACAGCAGGAGGGTGTTTCTACCCATCTCCTCTCAAATAGCTGACTCTAAACTGGATTCTGGGCAGTATCTTGTGTCACCCTCCTAGCATTACTAGTTCGTGTGCATCAGCCAGAAAGCATAAAAGTAGTGACCCTAGTTAGAAACAGCCAAGAAATTACTCTTCTTCTGGGACGCTGTGATTACATGGAAGTGAAAGGAACTAGAAAACACTGAGCTCATGGCAAGGAAGGTTGGCAGCCTTGGATACCAAGCTAAGTTACTGAACTTGATGAGCAGGGAAAGGTGTGAACGTAATTTATACTTACTTGGAAGTCTGAGAAGCAGATATAAAAAAAGAGGAATTTAGAACAGTCTTACACTGCACCGAGTCAGAAAAGATGCACTAGAAGTTTATACACTATGAATTCAGAATGCTTCCACCTGGAAGCCCACGTGGGGCCCATACTGCTCTGAGTGAAAAACTCAGAGTCTTCAAAAAACAAATTAAAAAGTCTTATTCTACATATGTATGGAGCAGCAAGCATGTTGCGAAGCTGAGATACAAAGAACAGTGGTAGGTTTGGGTATAGTATGTTTTCAGACATGATAATGATAAAGAATAGAAAAACAAGTCTCACATATCTTGATTTTTACCTTAGACAGTTAGAGTGACTGCCATTCTTGGTTGGAATAAAAAATGCAGTTTGTTTTAAAGGCAGTTTAAGGGAAACTCAAAAGCTTTAAAGCATCATGTATTTTTCTCTCGTGTTGAGGTATCAACTTGCACAATTTGATATGATGAACCACATATATATCAGAAATTAGGGTTTAAAACATTGGTTGCTATTAGTTTTAATACACTTCAATGTCAGCATTTTGTAATTAATTCATAAAATTCCTCGCAATAGAGTAACTAAAATGAAATTTAAGTTAATTTGAAGTTTAGGCTTAAAAGAATCAGTATTTGACTGATTTCTATAATAAATCCAATTCTACCTGCATGAGGAAAATTTTGTTCTTACATCATCTCATGCACTTGAGGGAGAAACGGATATAATGAAATGAACCAGTTTTTAAGAAACTGCAAAAACTAGGGTTTACAGATATAAAATGCTTATATCATTTTCTAAGGCTCCTGCTTCTTTTACATGTGCTGTGCTGACTTTCTTGGGGACAAAGATTACTCCTAAGAAGAATCTGTATCTGACTTTTTGTCAGAGTTCAATAATATTTTCAGTTTCCTGAGAAGTTCATTCTTTTTTCCCCTAGCAAAAATGTTTGTACAAAGTTGAGATTATTTTATTTTTAATGAAGATATGAAGTCAGGTATTTGAGAGCTAATTCACATATTAACTGAAACTCTTTTTCATTTTTTCTGCTTTGCTATATGCTACATTTATGACCAGAGAACTATTTTTTTATGTAGCTTATTTTTCAGTTAATGCAACATGTAAACATTTCCAACCAATGCAAGATCACATTGTTTTCATTCTGAAATTATATCACAACAGAACAGAAAACAAACTAGAACTGTCTAAAATAAATGTAATTTAATAATATTCAGGCCTTGAAAGTCTGTCGTAATCTTGCTCATCCTTTAGGAACCTAGGAAATGCAACTTAGCTGTCCTGATACAATGTATAAAAAGAACCTGTAATAGCTTGAAAACATTTAGATATCCTTAAGCTCCTAGATGGAGAGAAAAACGACAAAATTCCTTAAGGGCTTTGTTCTTGTAAGCTGTAGTAGAATTATTTCTACAATCTATGCATGAGCAGTTAAGAAACCTCTCCTTTTATATATAAGGGGCTGTGTCTTTTGCAGTTATTACTACCTTGTTCCACATAAAATAATTCCTTACTAATTCCAGAACAACCCTCTCTCTTCTTTTTTTTTTTTTTTTTGGAAGGGTACGCAGTGGCTCCTTGAGTGAAGACTGTCAATCAGTATTGGATGTATCTTTACATCTATTAAAAAATACATATAAAATACATATAAATAATATCTAAACTAAGACACCACCTTTGTTTAAGATCCTTTTGTTTGCTCTGTAGCACCTGCACTGGACCAGTAACTGTGTGTCAAATATCTAGAACTTGGTCCATCATAAATGTGATATACCTAAGGCTTCAGTATATGGCATAATTCTAGCAGCAACTATTTTAGAAGGACTAGAGTTACCTGAGAATATATTTTATATTTGCATTTTTTTTCATTGCAAGGGCAACTAAACTAATTTCTGTTTAATTTTTTTTTAAACAAACAGCGCTGCTTTGGTTTTAAAGGTGCTGGATAGATATGAGCTATAAAGCTTTGAGTTACAGTGCACCAGATTTTAACTACAAAGTACTTAGAGGAAATGAAGCATCCTTTAGTAAAGGAGAAATCTTTTGGGGTACTTCCACAAAACTTGCATAGTTGTTTTCCAAGCTTTCTCTTCCCTAGCCAGTTTTTTTAGGTTTCAAGTACTCTATGTTAGGATCAAGAGAGTCTCCTACCTGGATTAAGCTTCTGTGTTTGTTTTTAAAGGAGTCTACCATGTTAACTTTCTCCAAAATATTTTCCTTTTCCATGTCCAAATTCAGAGAAGCCAATTTTTTTTCCCAGTTCCCCTTCATGGCTCTGAAATCTTTCCACATGAAACCTTTCCGTATACATATCCGCAGCTCTGAATGCAGCAGAGCACAATGAAAACCCCATTTGTCTTTCCCTGCTGCTGAGTAGCTGGGCCTTGGTAAGGCAGAGGGAGGTAACTTGCTCTTTCAAAACCTCTTCCTACACACAATAATAGTCACTGAACCTTTGTAATAAAATTTTGCAATGCATTGTGTGGCTAACATTTGTTTCTTACAAAGTCAAAAATGAACCTTTTCAGGAGTTTTACTTCTGTCATATTCTTATCTAGGTTGCAATATGTTGTAGTAACCAAGATCTCTAATATGAAGACATTTGTATTTATCTGTAATGTCCAATTCAGTGCAGGCTTAAGATTACAAAACGCAGATTTTTTTTTGAAGTTTCATGTTTAGATTTTGTTAAAAGCTTACATTCCCTATAACTGAATTCTGCACTGAATTACATTTTTATCATTGCTTTCTGAAGATTTGTTTTGTTTGATTTACTGTTTCAGCCTTACCCTTAATCATACGATAGTATAAGGTATATTCTCTTAAAATAAAAGCTTGGTTTACACCTAATTTGAAAAAGAATGTCATGAGCAACAAAAACATAAATATCGATTATTTTTTATTGTATTAGCAACTTTGTACAGACTTTGTACAAAAGAGTACTTAAAATAGAACGAACGAGCTCAAACTGCCTCAGAGCTGGATCAAAACAAACACATCACGTTTCACATTCCTGAAAAGGAACTATGCATGCTTTTATAATAAAACACTGAGGGTCTGATTGCTCTTCAGAGCAATTATTACAAATACAGAAAATGGCGGTGGTGTTCTTGTGTGTGCATAGCAGCAATATGCCAAAGACAAAGCTACAGATTCCTAACTGAACTGAATATGAACAGTGTCTTGTTAGTCATGCTGTGTAGCAGTTTAGGATTGTTCATATAGAGCATTCCGAAGAAATTTGATATTCTGCATTACCAATACGGTAAACACATTTAAGTGTGGTTCTGAAATCAAACTACTATTGCACCACTCCAGCTTATAAAAATGGATACTAATATATTTATTCAGTTCTGAGTATAGCAATTTGATGCTGCAGTTTTGTGGTATAAGGTGGCTCCAAAAAAAAAGAAAAGTGAAGACAGGCTACTGTCAGCAATGGTAAAGAAAAAGAGACTGCTCTTCATTTCTGTTATAGTGACTAGGTGTGCTACAATCCAAAGGACAGAATGCTTAAGAAAACATAACAGTAGAAAAGTC